CTGCGATTCGGTACCGTTAACCACGGAAGGAGTAAGGTATTCACCACGCTGTGATTGAGACTGTCAAGGAAGAGAGCAGATGGTCCGACAACATCCTAATCACTTACATCTCTGGTGGCGTTGCAGCCATAGGCTGTCTGAAAAACTCCGTTTATAGGAAGTGACGGGGACTGATAGATTGCATGGCGTGCCTATCTGCTGGGTGCCGTGTACATTGTTGTCATCGCCAACTTCATATTCACTAAATGTTTCCCCAGAGAATCTATTGAAAGTCTGTCTTTGAGTGGCATATGACCCACGTTTTGCATGCATAGGGTGGGGCTGAGTGCATAGTCTGTGTCTACCACTCAGCTCACTATCCAATAACTGTGACCGTTGAGGAGTCCATCCGTGTTGTCTATCTCCTCGCGATCGCGGAAATGTATGGAAATATGGATCGCCTGGAAAGTAGTTATTTGGTTTGGTCATGGGGCGAACAGAGAGATCACATTCGACATTTTCTAAGTGTGGCTTTGCGAGGGTGCCATGGTCTTTCGGTTACTCTTACTGCTTTTTCGTCTACTGGCTTGGCCACGTAATTTTAATTTTCGGTACCTTGATTAACCTTGGCGGGCCCATGGTGGGGTTTGTATTATTATTATCACTTAATCTTTGCCTCTGTGGTTCCTAGTTGAACACAGGGCTTCGGCAACATGTCTCAATTCCACTCCGTTCTCTTCAGTCTATTCACCATGGCTCCACGACTCCCCAGAAGCTTTCATTTATTCCTCACATGATCTCCATGTCACCGTCTCCTCGGACGCCTGACCAGTCGTTTACCATTTGGATTCCACCTGTGGGTTTGGCGCATGATGTCCACAATCGGTCTTCTCAGTGTATGCCTGATCCATCTCCACTTTTCTGCACATATCATATATTTGTTGGGTGACTGGCTCTTGGTTGGTTCGTTGCCCGGTCAGGGTTCCGCCTTGGTTATTTTTGTTGCCATGTGATCCTCAACATCAGGTCAGCGTAGGCGGGAGCTGTTGACAAATGTCTGTAGTTTGTTGGAAATGCCCTTCGTAATGCGCCAAGTTCCTCGACAGTCACATAGAATTACTGACTGAAATGGATTAGTGTCGGAAACCCGGATCTTTGTGCTGAGTGCAGTGCAGTACGGTAGATTTCCACACCGATTTCAGGTTGATGAAGGCCTGTCTTGCTTTTCCGATCCTGCTTTGCCGTCCTAGTCTGCGTCAGCGCCTGTGCTTGAAATGACACTGTCTAGGTAGGTGAAAGAGGCTACTTCCTTTAGGCTCCTCCCGTTGATAGTAATCGATGCTCGTTGTTGCTGGTCAGGCATCTCCACCACCTCAGTCCTGTCTACGTTCACTTGAGGCCCCGTCCCCTGCCTGTTCTGTCGACTTGTTGGTTTTTGCCTGTAGATCTTCAAGTTTGTGCGACAGAACATTAAACGTAAATCATCACCGGCAAAATTCAACTCTTTTAGACTCTTTTCGTCGGTCCAGCCAGCGCATGCCCATCTTCTCGCTCCTCACTGCTTTCTGCATGGTCCAGTTGACCACAACCAGGGAAATCGTGGGTAATAGTAGGTAGCCTTGCCTTACTCCTGTCTTCACTTCGAAGGCTTCACCGAGCTTTCCGTTGCGAATCACTCGGCATGTAGCATCGTCGTACAGCTGCCGTTGAATGAGCCTCACAAGGATTCGTGATACACCGTGGTGTTGAAGCAGTTGCCTACCAAGTGACTTTTTGGTCGACGTTGCCGAAAGCCTTTTCAAAATCGATGAAGTTGAGGGAAGGGCCCCGTTAATTGCCACTCTATGTTCTGTTCTATAGTGATGCGAAGCGTAGCGTTGCAATTTGGTCCACATGGTTTGCCCTTCCTTCGTGTCAGCTATTAGCCTCTCACTTAAACTTGGACACATATATCTGTATTTTTAGGGGATTTCATTCATCCGAAAGTCAATTTTGTGGATGGCACCAAACTGTGGGGGCGGTGGTTCCCCTAATGAGCAAGATCAACGATCTTGTTGTCTGGTTCCAGCATATCTGGAAAACACAGGCAACTCGTCGCGTAAACCAATAACAAGACCAGATTAATCGCGACTCGCAGGATAATAATAGCCACTGGACATTAAGACGTGACGGAGTCAAAAGTGAGGTAGGCCGGAATGTCCCACTTTCAGCTGAAGTGTCGTAGACGACTTAAGGTAATATGCAACTACATCCTCAAGCTCCTAATTTTAAAAGACACTGCTGGACATGGTAGAAAGAAAATGGCTGTCAATCCATCCACAAAAGGTTCAAGTGGACACTAAATCTTCACCACATGGCCTTGAAAGATGAAAAGTAATTACTGCCACCGGTCTCAGCTAACAAACACGTTTGATCTTTGACCAAACAGCGTCTTGTACTCTGCAGCATCTCTCTATGGAGCCAAGACGAGAGTTTCCGTCCAAATGAGTCTCAATGGGCTGACCAGTAGTGAAGTCGTAGGTGCTTTAACAGACCAGTGCTTGCATATTTTCTTGTCATGGAGTTCATTTTAAGGTACTTACGGGCGTCCCACAACCTCGCCTAGCTAGCCACTTAAGTAGTCAAAGCCTTCCCTAAGCCCGGATAAAGGTGGAAGGTTGAGCATAGGGCTAGCAACCCTCTCCCGTAAGCCCAATCCAATAACCAGAGAAGCTCCAAAGCACATAGAAAATATAAGAATTAAAAATAGACTTATTCTTTGCTAGAGTCGGGGAGGTGAAATGACGTTAGTTGGTTAAGTCTTCGGAAGCCAATTGACTGATCTGTCTTCTCTTCTCTCCACGAGAGCGTAAGTAAGAATGGGGACGTGGAATGTCCGCACAACGTTTGAAGCTGGCTGGCAAGGCTACTCAGATTGCAAAAGAAACGAGAAAGTATGAAATAGAAGTGCTAGGAATCTGTGAAAGCAGATAGCATGGAAGTGAACTCTTCAAACTGTCAACTGGAGAATCAATAATCTACTCCGATGTTGTCACCCAGACGACAACCATGAGGACATTGACTTATGGAGTGGCTATCATGATGTCTTCAAGAGCATCAGAGTCTCTGCGTCCGAGAGTGACGTGGAGGAGATCATGTGAGGAAAAAATGAAAGCTTCTGGATGGTCGTGGAGCCGGGTTCAAAAGACTGCAGAGAACACAGTGCATTGGAGACGTGTTACTGAAGCCCTATGTTCCGTTAGGGACTCAGGGGGCAATTAATAATGATAATGATAATAATAATAATAATAATAGGCGTCTCACGATAGCAACATAGCTGTCAGCCATTTAACTGCTTGTCTACCGGATACACCATAGGCTAGCATTTTTAAGAAGCCGCATACTTCTGATTGCTGATGATATACTCACTACATTTCTCCCGAAGGCACCCCACTCTTCACCGAATACCTCTGTAGGTCCTTTGCACGTCCCCAAAACGTAATGTCTAATCCTCAGAAGTAAGGTCATATCACATCCATGGTCAGGGGTGGTCAATGGAGCGACCAACCGAACTTCAGGTTTGTTATTCTGCTGTCTACATTTTCGAAGATGACGGAATCGCTGGGGCTAGAGAGCCTACACGGCAGCCTGATATCCATAGCTTCCTCGCATTTCAGCATAGTTTTAGACAGTGATGTCCACTCATTATTGTGTGCCACACTAAACTGCTAGACTAGCATTGCTGATCGTTGAGGTTGAATAGATGTTGTGTGTCTCAATTTTTCGAAGCCTCTCAAGTACATAAACTACAAATGTCTCGTTGGCAAGTTAAGGTCGGTGGGAACCAGTCGATCGGCTTTAATCATTTTCAGGTGACTCCCTCTTTGTGATGTGAATGAATTCCGTGACGTCGAAAGATGCGAGATGGTGTAGTGGAGTCCTCCGGAGTGAGGTACAAGCGTCTTTCCTGCCCCTCACTTCTGCAGATGGCACCTCCAAAGGTATATTCTGAATTGTTTCTTTTCGCTGATGATGCAAGTCGGTTGCAAGATGATGTGACTCGACTTTAAATTTGGGCAGTTCACCTTAGACTGGCTTTCGCTCCTGAAATATGCTGCTGGATGCGAGTCAGAAACTTGAACTAAACGACAGACAGCTAGAGGCATTTTTGGCAGAAAAGGATCTTGGTGTTTTAGCAGCCCAATGGCCTAAATCTCACACTGTGACAAATATACATTTCCTTAGGGTCTGGCTTATGAACAGTTTGATCACAGACATTTTAACGAGAGGCTTAACAGTTTCGTGCGGCTTCACCTAAGGTTTGGTGGCCGTCATCTTTTCTCCTCCTCAAAATGATAAGAATCCAAAGGTGCTCGACTGATCCCAATAGTGGACTGGGTTTCAAGCTGTACTAGGGACACTTGGCAGGACTCAGACTATATCCTCGGAAAAATTGACGGCTGGGGGTGAACTAATAGTAACATCAGACTACTCAGGTCACATATTTCACTGTTTGTTTGAGTTGAGCTCTAATATTAGTCTTAGAGGGAATACTCAGAAGTTGGAATATGATCGAAGTAGGACAGACAACAGGTCAACCTTTTACTCCCCGAAATTCGTTACGGTGTCGACGATTCTTTCAGTAGTATTTTTCATCAGAGTCCTTCATCACGAACCTGATGGCCAGTCTAGGTCACAGCGTGAGCCTACAGAACGAGTAGCCTAGTCCTTTTTACTTATTTCTTTTTATCTCCGCTGTCTCCACATCTAGGTTCTCGGAAGCAGAAACTAGTGTTCCACTGATTATAGAATCGGAAGGCACTTAGGCGAAATCCTCTTTTATACCATCAACAACTGTTTAAAGGAATTTGGTTTAAGCCGACTCTCGCAAAATTGTTAAATGTATCAGAAATTCTGCTGGTATACTGCTTGGACTTTAGAATCGTAAATTACTAAAGTTTCCGTCCATTTTACTACAACTAGAAGAGATTGACTGGCATAGGCAAGATTGTGAAGAAGATATTGGACTTCACTGAAGGTCATATTTTCTGAAAGAAGCGCTTCATAGGAAACAGTTGCTTTCCGTCTTAGAACTGAGGTGACATCTTTTGCATGTTTGCTTTGATTTTTCAGACCAGTATTTCTCCTAAAGTCTAATGAGTCAATTTGATCATAAATTTGGGCTCATTTAGTTTCCACTATGAATACTGTCTTGCATATGTACTCATATATATATATATATATATATATATATATATATATATATATATATGTTTTTGCAGTACACAGACATGTATGTATTCTGTCAGTCATTTTAATGGCATTTTGCATAAATTAAGTCCCGTCAATGTGTAGGTGTAATTGACATCATACTGTCAAGTGATACATTATATAAAGAGATCTGGACAAACTGTTGAAAAGCAAGACCTGCTTTGCCCTGAAAACTGTTCGTCTGTGTTTTTGCTGAGCATTTGACACTATATTTTAACATTTGGTTTGACTAGTAGTTGCACGAATCGTGCCGCATACCTTCAGCTTTCAGCAAGAAGTCTGAAAGGCAAAAGTGATTAACAGTGGGAAGATCTCCTCATTGCTAAACGTTGGGACGTATTAACAGGCTAAATACATTTATTGTCCATTTATTATCCAGTTTTCTCCGTTATTTTATAGTGAGTGTTCTTCAGCATCTCAAATGTCAAAATTGATATAAAATGTTTAACAGTAATAAAGCAAATAAATCGCCAAGAGTACAGCAATTTGAAAAACATACGCTTACGGAAAAACAGGGATTTACGAAAATTCATACTTGTTCCACTAGTCATTTACATCAAAACAAGCAGAACAAGATTTGGAGAATAAATTAAGCTAATATTTTTTCGCAACTTCTCCGTGTCTAAAAGCAGCTCTTGAGCTAGAACAAAGTAACTATATGCGTTGGGAATTATACATGCAATAGCTGAAACTAAGCTAAATGTTAGGAATGCAAAAATACCTTAGATTAACATTTCCTGATACATTTACCAACTAACTTTCATATTCCTTTCTGCCACCTTTATTGTTACAGTTGCATTAAACAATACTTATATAAACAACGGTGTATTTTCTAATATGCTACTGTATCCGGCTCTGTTGTATTTTATTTCAACAAAAGTAGTTGGATACTAGTTAAAGAATCAGCCTAATTATATTGGTGGTGGTAAAAACTTGGGTGTAAAAAGTGGATGAATTACATTAGTATTTGAATTTAAAACAAGAAATTTGAAATTTCTACGGGGGTATTCAGAGAAGTATTTCCTTCAGATACTGGCGACAACTTGGTTCCATTTTGACTTAAATCTTTAACCATGAACTTCATCTCATTGACCTTCAAGAATTCTTGTAAGGAAGGTACAGCCCCTGTACATTATCTAGCCTATCTATCAAATAATAGTTTGATGCTGCGCTTTGGGATTAAAAATTTAGTTCTTACGTTCTTCTCTAGTATGTGAAGTAATAACGATGTGTTTTATCATTCCTGTCTTCTCATTTGTAGTAAGACCGTGGAGTAAGGGAAACATTTCAAATTTCAGAGGACATGTATGCGGATGAAAATCTTCGTTAAATGTAGTATTTATGACATCACCACTCGCTATCAGCGAGCAGTGTTGTATTATGAAAGGAACCACAGGTTGGTCACTCCATGTGTTTCTGAAATCTGTCTGACAACTGTTTATATAAATGTAGACTGTCAATATGAGATGTGAGACAGCTGCAGTTAAAACTTGAAGACATGAGTATGCCCGCAATCTATTTTATGTGCTTGTCAACGATATGTTTGGTGTTTTTTTTTCCTGATGTCGCTGTTCCTTTATCACATTTTTAAAAACTTTTTCCATCAAACTCGAAACTATCTACACTCTTTACGTTCATCTTTCAACATGAAAATTCTGTTTGATATTTTGAACTACAAACAACTGTCATCTAAGTTGCTAGGAGTTACCTGTTTGACAGGCTTGCACCCTATAGAGAAGTCTGAACTTCTTGGTTATGACGAGATAAAGGAATTTGATGACAACCAAGCACTGTTTTTCCTAGGTTTCGAATTATTTTTATCAGTTCGTTCGCCAGTACTTGTTTAACCAACGTGTGTACTCTGCTAGGAAATATAAAAAAAGTATGTTTCCTATCTTCAGATGCAATAGGTACTGGTTTTAACTTTCATTAACCTGACGTAGCTGTTTCATGAGTTATCTATTATGCTTAAAACAAAATGGTAAGACCTTATATTAAATTCATAGTGATCCCTTATAAAACAGTATTATAATTTATGCTTAGAGTGGCTTGTAGATGTGTTGTTGAACATCTAGTGTGGTAGAAATGAGGATGTTAATCTGGTAGTACAAGCGTTTAGCTTTGTTACTTAACACTTCCAACAGTTTTTTATGACTTACAACTTATTCTGTATATAAATGTCTGTATGATGATGTAATAGTACAACTCAACCTGGTACGCCTTATCAGCAATACACTGCGTAAGATCTTATGATTCTATCCTTTAACGATGACTAAAGTAGATGGTTATGACAATACTTTCTACAGTTGCTGCAATTTGTTGCTATTTTTCCCATTTATGTCTTTCTTACTAGAGTATCAAATTTTTCATAAAACACTATGAAGTTTTTATTCCCCACTTACTTTGTCTAAGCTGTTCCGTTCGTTAACTTCTCTCCAGTATAGGCATTTGAATTATGGATCGAGACTACAGTCCACTCTCTTCTACATGTGTCAAGAACCTTGTAGATAAACTCTTTGAAAAACGTAAATTGGCCTCATTGGAAGTTGAAAGGTATTTCTTATTCAATATTTTCATCATTTGTATATAGAGTTATTAAAGACTGTATCAGTCAGACAAGCACTCCGAAATATCCCGGATTATTGGATATTTTAGTCAGGATTTTATTCAGTCTGCTAATCCTCATACTCGTAAAGGTGGTTTGCTTGGTTTGGCTTCTGCAGCCATTGGACTTAATGAGGCAAGGTAGCCTAATACTTATGTTTCAATCCATTTAGCATGCGTGTCTTTTCCATGGACCAATAATTTTGCCCATAATTCGAACATTCCACGACAATGATCCACGTGTGCGATATTATGCTTGCGAAGCTCTTTTCAATGTTATGAAAATAACTAGGAAGGAGACGCTCAATTATCTAAGTGACGTTCTTGATGCTATAAGCCGGGTGAGTTTTCGTTTTAGTTATGAATCCCATGTCTCACCTTTCTGTTTTTTTGCAAATATATACAGTTATATCTTTTAGTTCAACACTTCTGAACCGGTTGCTCGTGCCCTTGTCATCTAAAGGATACTACTGCTTCACTTCCAAATAAAAATTGGTTAGATTATGACATGTGAGTTGTGCTACTCATTCCGTCATTCTGATATCAGTATCCCATTAAAGTTAGGCTAGTGATTGGAATTTGACCTTATTGCCAACAGCATCAATGTAGAGCTGCGATTACCAATTGATGGCTATTATTTGATGTCGTTAACTTTTCTTCTTCATCAGTATCAACATAAGACTAAACGTTATTGCGTAACTGTCCAAGTTGCCATAACTCACATCAGCACATCAGTTAACAAAGATGGAAGGTGAAGAAAGGAAGAAAGGTCGGCCAAAAGCAGTACAAAGTAGTAAAAGAGAGGAGTGAGAAATGAGCAAATACTAAACTCAGTATAGCAGTTTTTGTGAAGATGTATAGATAAATCTGTGCCACTGATATTGATTTTGAACCATCTCTCCTGAGTTTCCAATCGTTGGTTTTTGTTATCACATGAACCCCAACCAGCTTGTGTGCATCTCCTTGGATGACTCAGACCAAGGGTTAACGACTTCATCCCGTGACGCCATGTTTTA